CCCCCCCATCAGAATTCCCAGTCTTCACAGAGGGTGGGAGGTAGAGCAGGTCTAGATGGAAGCAAACTTCTTTCCTCTTCTAAATGCTGGGGAGGTCCTGGATACAGCCCCCCACCCGATTAGCATCATACATACGCATACTGCTGGTGGCCGCCTTGTCTACACCATGGTAATGCATGCCAATGCATTGAAAACATTTGAAGGCACCCCTGACAAAACCAAAAGGCACCCTGGTTGAGAGATGCTGAGCTAGATGACTGGCTGTCAAGCTGCCCAAACAAGTATCAGGAGTTCTGATTTCACATTGACTCTCCTGATCTTTATGCTTGTTCTGGGTCAGTAAAGCTATCGGGTCAGCATAACAGACAGGCAACCAACATTTTCAGAAGGGGGTCAGCAGTGGCATATTTCTCTGAGTATAGGTTACTTTTAAAGCCTCATTCACACGGGGCTAACTCAGGGCGTACACGTCCATGCGGCATGCACACCTGTATCGGGCCATTCCCGGGGGGGAACAGGTGCTGCATGGGAATGCATGCGGCAGCCTGTTCTTCCCTATGGGAGGACGCGGCCATTCTCTGTCATACGCACATCCAAACTGCACATCCGTGCGGGTCTGGGTGTCCGTACTGGAACGCAGACAGGACAACGCAAGACACCGGAGCTCACCGCTGCCCTGTAGCAGACACTGGTCCCGTGGCAAAATGTAGTGTAGTGTGAGCAAGCCCTTACAAAAAGATACGTGTCTTTATTGTCAGCCATGTGACTTATTTACAAATCTCGCTGGAGAAATACCCCAATAGCAAAAATTTAATTTATTACAAGGCCTTAGATGTGGTGACTGCTTTCCTTTTCATTTTTTTAGGCTTGTTTCCCCTTTATTTTTCCCTGGTGATCCATCTGTTATTTTCCACCAAGCTGTCTGACAAAAGTGGCAAATAGAAGGTTAGGGCAGACCATTCAACACTGACAGGGGTGCTTACAATGGTTGGCTTTTGTTCTTTTA